AAATAAATAAATAAATAAATAAATAAATAAATAAAAATAAAGAGAGTAATTACCTTTTGTTTCCAGCTCTGGGAAAACCTGAAGTCTATTCCTCATGTGATTTACTGTTTGTACTTTGAAGATGACTGGGATAGGATGAGGTCCCAAGGTATTCCATATTTCTTCAGGTGCTTTCTCCCCAATGTTATTCCACACAACTATCACTTTGTGTAAATGAGGGATGGCTTGATAATGATTTAAAAGCTTCAAGAGTAAGTCTGTTCTATTGTATGTCTGCATAATAAGAGTAAACGAATCCGAAGCAAACTGGCTTTGGGATTTTCTTTCCCTTCGCAGAGCGAGCATTTTATCTTCCTTAATATTAGGCAGTAAAGCTGTTAATGCACCTGCCACCAGAAGCAGCAAAAAGATCACTATAGAAGAGAAGTGAAGTAGCCGGATACCCATAATTCTTCCAGGTAGCTTGCAGGTATGGTAAAACCTTAAGTGTTCAAAATAAAGTAAGAGGTGAAAATTAGTCAATCATTCATGATCGTATAATGCTATATACCAAATTAACACTAACACAAAGGCTAAGCAGGTTTTTCTAAGTTGGTTGCTTGAAATTTAGAAAATGAAGGCAAATACAGGAAATCCCATCTTGTCATATCCAAAGTATAGCCTAATAACACTTGGGCTATGCCCTAACAATTATACAATTCCTCAAGCGTGTAGAAGAACAGGCCTACAGATGATTGTCCTCTGGAGTCAACAGCTTGAGTTGGAATAATTAATAAAGACCTGCTCCAGTTGGACTTCATGATATTAATTGTGCTTGTAGATGACCTCTGGCACACTTGGGATGGATCTTTTGGTGGCTTACTGATACCCAATGATCATGGCATCCTTCTGGGCCAGCTGAGGAGGTTGGGACTGAGGGGCATGGTACTTCAGAGGTTCTCCTCCTTCCTCCAAGGCTGTTTCCAGGCAGGGTTGGTAGGAGGAAGAGATCTAGCCCTCAGCCTCTGCTTTATGCAGTGCTATAGGGCTTGACTCTCTCCCTGCTTCTATTTAACATCCACATGAAGCCGCTGGGAAAAGTAATCTGTCAGCACAGGGTTAAGTATCATCAGCATGTTGATGCTAGTTTTACATTTCTGCCCCAGGACTTCCAAGCGATGCCATCAAGGTTCTTTCCCAGTGCCTGGAGGATGGGAAAAAGAGGGTTCAACTCAGTCCTAACAACACTGAGTAGCTATGGGTTTTAGGCCCCCCAGATCTGGAGATCTTCCACTTTTAACTCTGGCTAGCTTTCACCCAGAAAGAATTGATATGCAATCTTGGAGTCCTCCTGGATTCACAGCTCATGCAAAGAGGTGGCAGCCTTGGCAAGGATGGCTTTTGCACAAATACAATCTTTTATGCTTGCACGCTTTCCATAAATATAGATACAGATACTGTATATAGCTGCCCAGAATTATTTGTTGATGGGTGCCCATATACATTTGATAAGTAAGTAAGTGTCAGGCCCAGCCCAAGAACAACGATGAAACAGTCCAGTCAAGTTCAGTTCCTTGATTTGCTTACACCGTATAGACAGAATCTTGCCAAACTAAATCTATACTACAGCAACTAGTGGATATACCCTGTGAGATTCTAAGGAGTGGCTATCCTGAATCTCTTT